CATCCTGATCTTAGCCTTCTTAGCCTTCAGAACTGTGAGAAACACATTTATGTTGTTTAAGCCACACAGCCTATGGTATTTTGCCATGGCAGCCCAAGTAGGTTAATTTACCATTTGAGGACTTAATTATTTGCATAATCCACAGTTCACTTAATATTTTTAAAACAATTGTTTGTGTCTTACAAAATCCTGTAATTTAAGCAGAATTAGTGCTATCATTATTTTCAGTTTACGTAAGAGCAAATTATTAGAACTTTAGATTATCTGACCTACCCAAAATGACTCACCTGATAACTCCATAATCAGGGCTCAGTGTAGGGTACAATTGATTTATTTGAGTTAGTCCAGAAGTCAATGATCTCTAGGATTCCTGTTCAGGTTATGAGCTTACTTAGTACTTTCTCTGCTGAAAAGCACCATTCAATCTAATACAAGCAACCTCAATTTTTCTATTCTTTGTTTTAAAATGCCTCCATATCTACTCATTTTTCTGTCATCTTTCTGTCTTCTCCTTCCTAATATCACTATCTGTGATTTTTATATCAAACTTTCCCATGCTTTCTTATCTTCCTCTCACTTACCCAAAAATCTCTTCTCTATTCCTTTTTCTTTAGTCTGCAAACATACTCATGTTATTTATTTGTTTACTTTATTTATTACACTTCCCATTGTAACAAAGTCTTGTGCTTATTTCAAATTGCAGAACCATTTCTCCTTTCTTCTTCAGCATCTGTTTCTGAAAGAATGTTAATTACTCCCTTATTTATTTTTAACCTATTATAAACATAATATCCATGTGCAATGAAGAAGACATGGACCATACACTCAGACACACACTATCTGAAATTCTACCACCTAGCGTAACTACTAACCACTTTTAACATTGTTCTCTCTCCCTTTATCCCTCCTCACTCATCTCATTCCCTTTCTACTCCTATTTCTCAATTTCTCTTATTACCTAAAGTATATGAAGTCTATATAATCTCATCCACTTTTGTGCTATATATCATTTTAAGAGTTGATTTAATATTTAAATTAAAATTATTTAATAATTATTTTTGTTTTTATAAAATAATCTATATCAATAATTTAAAGGTCATAATAGTACAAGGTTATATTAAATATATAAAGCACACACAATGGGTTTCCTGCCCCATTCATCTTTACCCACGAGTGAAAAGTTTTAAATTATTTCTTAAAGCTTTAATTTCCATTTTCTAACTCATAGGCTGTGTTGTTCAGAGTCCCATCAGAAACAGAGGTCTATTGAAAAGAGATGATTTAAAAAGTTTACAGAAGAGATGATTTACACAGGAGTGGGCCAAGTTAAAGAGCCAGCAAGGGATGGTAACACACTTGGGACTAGTAATGGTGAAACTAATAATAGTAAGATACCATTATCAACTCTAGGATTAAAAGGAGCAAGGTCAGGGGAGTCATTACCCAAACCCAGTAAGAACAGTAGCTGTGGAGAGGGCCCACACTACAGGATCTGAGGCCTTAGGTGGAGGAGTACAGTCACTTCCAGCCAATGGTGGAAGGATGGAAGCTGGAGGAACCAGCAGTCTACTTTCTGCCTCTTCCTGTCCTCTCATTTCCCACCAATGTATTCCATTAAACAAATCCAACTAAAAGCCAAAGACTAGGAGCCCAGATGATACTCTGAAGAGATCAGTTTTCTGAGACTCTACAGAGCAGGGTGAAAAGGGTGAAAATCGATCTGCAAGGGCACAGGGGAAATTACCATACCAGAACATAGACTTTCACTGGTTGTTTTGCTTTATAGATTTATGTTTAAAAATTCATTATGACAAATAATGATTGAGCTCTTTTTCTCACACTTTCTCACCTTTCCTCTCTACATATGTCATAATATAGTATTAACATAAATTTTACTTGGAAAATTGTAACAATATCCAATGTTTTACATAATTATGTAAATAATTATTCACTGTTGAGTCAAGTAATGTACTACATTTCCGTTCTATGCTATTCTCAACCTTACTCTCCCCCCAAGATTTCATAATTACCTTTTATTTTGTTTAGTTTTCTATGTGTTTATCACTAGCTTTTTCTAAATGTTCCAAATGATTCTTCATATGGCCAAACATATCAGAGAATCTTTCTGTTCTATTTTTCCCTGGAACCTTCTTTTTCTTGCTTTAGTCTGAATCAGTTGCTTTCTAAGCCCTGATACTAATTGTCCACTTATGACTTCTGTCAGGTTTATATTTCTAGATCCCCTTTTGCTGGATTCTATGTCTTCTAATCTCTTATTTTTCTCCTTTGTTTTGCTGGAGTACACCTTCTACTTGTTTCATGTGAAAAGGTGGAGAAGAGAGAAAATTTTCAGTGTTGCATGTCTGGAAATATCTTTTTCTACTTTCATACTCCATTGATAATATTTCTGGGGATAGAATTCTAGATTGAAAACTGTTGTCCTTTAGAATTTCACAGGCATTGCTCCATCATAGCCTTCTAGCATCCATAACTGCTGTTCAAATATTGCGTACTGTTATGAATCTTTTTCTTTGTATGTGGTCTTTCTTCCTTTCTAGATGCTTTTACATGTACTCCAATCTTTGGTGTTCAGAAATTTCATGATAAACTTTTGGCCTTTTTTATTGTTTGGCATACAATATAACTTTCAAGATTTCAAGTCTTGCTCTCCAGCACAGCAAAATTCCAATGCAGTGTATCTTTAATGACTTATTTCTCTCTATTTTGTTTTCTCCACTCTTTTGAATGCCCATTATCTGGATGCTGACTCTTCTGGGCTGATCCTCTAACTTTCATTTCTCCCCATCCCCTCCCAGCATTTAGTTTATGAATAACTTTTAATAACTGCTTTCAAAGTTGAGCATATTATCTCTTATTTATTCACAAAAATGTATGCTTTTATGCCCAATAACATGCCTGTAGTCAGCATTAGGTCAGTTCTTCTTTCCAACACCTGTTTCATAATCATCATTCTTTTTGGATCCTGACTCTTATACCATGGTACATTGCCCAGAGCGTTAAACCTTTAGAGGTGCCAAACAACCCTTTGTTTGAAAATAATTTTACCTATGAAGCCTACCTTAATTAAAGTGGCATAAGAAATAGTGTATGTGAGCTCTAATTGAAATGTTTTGAATTCAGACATTGTAGAACACACATAATGACGACTTGTGTCTATCAGACCTTACCCAATTGTTTTTAAAATGTATTGCTCTCCTGTGGGAAAGACCAGTAAAAGTAAAGAAAATAAAACATCTCTAAGAAATGCAGCAGACAGACTTAGGGCAAGTATTCATGCCTCATCTGTGTTTAACTGTGGAAGTACTGGAATTCAGACATGAGATGATTGTCACAGGAATGAGTATAAGGCACTTACTGGAAGTGAAAAATTAAGTCAGTAAGTCTGATTTAGAAAGTTAGTTTGATAAGAGGACTATATTTGTCCATTCGATTATGACAGATATTTTCCATGAATTGAACAAGCTAACAAGTTAAATCTAAGTTCTGAAGGTTTGATGGAAATAGAGCATGTGATAAAATAGAAGAATTTTATTATATATATGTGAAAATGCATAAAATTAATATTTCAATTCTCCTAACCCTTTCTGAGTATATCAGGATAAGCAAGTTACTTCTAAGTAAGAGTCAACAAGGTAATTAATAGTCTTTTATTAATTCTTGATAAAGACTTTTTGTTATACTGCCCAGAAACTAAGGGAGAGAATGAGTATAACACCTGGATAACAAATCCTTTCACATATAGGTTATTTGATTTCAATAAAATTAGAAGGGCCCAATTGAGTTATTAGCTGATAGATAATTAAAAATTATTTCTATGATTAATCTTATGGCTATAATTTGGAAATAGTTCATGGAATTGAATGACTTTGGTCTCTCCATTCTTATATTCTCATTTATAAAAACAAGATTTTCATTCATCTACAACAATAAAAATAATAATAATACAATTTATGTGGAATCCTCATCTTAGCATAAAGAAATATATGTCCATTAATATTTAAATTGATTGAAAAAGAAATAACCCGATGTTTCTTATTGAGATGAATTTCTAATAAAGCTAGAAAATTGAGTAATTTCATCAAGATTTGCAATACAGTTTTTTCCATCACTTGTGTACTAACAATAATCATAAATGCTAATTCAATCCACAAGAAAATGTTTAAACATTTTTGCCTTCGTAGATATGGGACTTTAAAAAATTTGAATTCAATTATAGATATTTTTGTTGCAAAAACTTATATAGAACCATTAGCAATATTTTAAGGCATATATATTTACTACTTTGCAATAAAATTCTTTGGAGGAAATACGAAATAGAAGAGTACAGTAAAATTTCCAACTGTAAAATATATATATATATTTTAAATAAATATAATTATGATAAGTAACAAATTATTATGGTGTTTAATTCCATTGGATAAAGAGCACTAAGATTTTTAAACATCAGTATATCCTATACTGTATTTTAAAAATTACATTCTTTACTGCATTTAAACATATGATGAAAAATTTTAGATGGCAACTTAAAAATTTGAAAACCATTACTTTTCATTTTTTTCTGTTTTATCCTTTGTATTATAACTTTTTGTTTTCAAATTTTATCCCTTTTATGAGAATGCAGGTGATTGAGGATAAGGACCATGTTTTCTATGCTTTCTATCTTTCACAAAACTTTGTTAACAAAGTGTTTTATTCATAATAGGAGCTCAACTAAATATTTACTGAATTAAATTATTTTTATTTCATCAAAGGGAGTCATTCATTCTTCTTCAAGTGTTCTTGCCTTCAGGTTTGATTTTCCTACTACTGATTAAACAACTACCTGGTGGAAATAAAATTTGGGTTACAAAAGTAACTCACATATTATCTTTACAGTGAGAACAGGAAAAATACTGTGAGAAAGAAATGTGTATATCTAGTAAATCAATATCAATTCTCTTAAATGTACTTACTTTCTATATAAAACAAAACAATACAAAGCACTTGGAAATATATTTATTGGCATAAAACTATAGTGTATATGTTCTTAACTAAAACCAGTTTCTTTTCATCATGATTCTTTCTAATGTGTACCAAATTAGAAAGCTTTAAAAACACCAGCAGATGGCTAACAGTGGTTGGCAATAAACCTCTTCTCTTCAAGTCACTGATAGAGAATTGAAATGAAAGATTATATACTCTCTTATGCTTTACTCAGCATCTCTGCTTAGTACACCATAAACACAAGATATTACCTAACATTGCTTTATTTGTTACATATTCAACAATAAGCTAGCAAGATGAAGTAGCTTATGCATGTACACTGGTTTATATATATATAAGACTCTTGCAATTTTTGAAGGTTATCAGGAAGTTTTTGGTTTTGTCCTGTGGTTATAATTTTGTTAAATTACATTTAAATATAATATTCAGCATTTATTTTATACTTAGTGTTATCCAAAGAAATAATATTACATATTAGCCTCTTAAAAATATAACTTGGTAAAACATAACTTAGGCAAAAGCAAAGTTAAAAAATAACAATAAAAACTGTTATCAGCTACTTAGAAATATCAAGTTGGGTTTAAGAATTAGCTTTATACCACCCCGATTCTTACTATTCCTTGGTCATTGTGAGGTTGTTGCTTGAAGTAAGAAAATATTACCTTAAATTTACAAAGCTCCTTTTATTCAAAGAAAAATTTGGATCTTATGTATTATAAACCTTTGTTGTAACAGTGCCGTTAGGAGTAATAATTCTAGGTAACATTTATTGAACACCCCCTTTGTACCAGGCACTCTACTTAGCACTTTATATTTAATCTCTCACAACTCTCTGAGGTAGGTAATATTGCACCTAGGCTTGTGAATCAAGGCTCCTGCAAGAAAAAAGATGCAGATGGGGACATATGAGTTGGTCTTCTGAACCCTCAATAGACTGTGAGTCTTTGAGGAGGGGACAGTGTCTTCTTGTGTCTCAGAACACATTACAGCACTGATGGTGTGGAGAAAAGAGGGGAGGAGAAATTTAGAGAAGACCCTTTCTGTGGTGTCCTGATGGTGGGCAGCTAGATGTAGCACATGAGTGGCCAGACCAAGAAGCATAATTACTCTTCTAACAAGCTAAAAGGAAAATCACATTTGTAAGGATACTAGAGTCTGAAAATATACTTTCACAAAAAGGATAGAGGCTATGAAAATTAAGTGTTCAAACTCAAATCTAAATTCCCTGGGATTCATCTAATTAACTAGTGCCAATTTTATTACTTATTATGATGTATGCAGGGCTTCCTATTATGTTAAGCTAGTTCCTTTGTCCTAGTATAAAGCTTTACTAGCTTCTTATTTCACCTTAATGTTTGTAACTCACCTGTATATGTGCAAGGAAAAAGTTATGGAAGGGAAAACAATGTAAGTTCCTGAAGTTTTTCTGAGGCATAAAAACTTCAGGGTCTGAATTTCTGTTGCTTGTGTGTCAGTCAAAAGAACTATAAAGATTTATAACTTAAAGGTAGTCTTTGGGGTTCTTTATTTAAATCTTTGTAACATATTTCTAAGAAAATGAGAAAATAAATTATTTATAAAAATGTTAAATTTCTTCATCATTGTAACTTTGGGCTTCTCAAAGGCCACCAGGATCCTGAAGTAGAGGACAGGAGCTCCACAAGAGCCATTTTCCCTCCTGCCTTATTCAGAGTCTCTACATTTTTTCCCAGAGTCACAGTTTAGCACAAAGGTCTACTGAACTACTGAAGCTCACTTTGACTGTGTCCTGAAATCCTAAGTGTAGTTTATTCCAAATTGGCCCAAAGGAAATGAAAATCAAGTGAAAAGAAATAATTTTATATTGTTTAGACTGCCAAATTATGTAAAGGTGAACAACTTTAGCTAAAAGAAAGCAAATGTTCAGTGTTTTTTCCCCACTCTTAAAAAGTACTTTTTAAAATGTGCGTTTATTTTATGGACATTAAAGCAAATGTAAAGAGAGCTGACTCAGTGCTCTACTTTGTGGGGAAAGCAGCCTGGATGCTTTAGCTTCTTGCTGAGCCTTTGGTATCCATCAGAACTGTGCTTTCATAGTTGTAAAATTGACTGTAAGCAAAAGTCTGTTTAATCATATGTGTATTTCAATTCACCTACGTAAGTAAAAGCCTTAGAACAGTGCCCTGCACATAGGGAGTACACAGTAACTGGTAACAATAGCAATATAATGGCTTAGAGAGCATCCATATACCACCAAGACAAAGAAGGAAACATCAATGGTGATGAATATTCTATGTTAGGGAACTCAGTCTTCCCCAGAAAATTAAATAGGGATTTGATCAAGTCTGAAATTGAACATTCATGAAGTTTCAGGGGCCTATTCTTAGGAATCCCCTGTCCCTATTTTTTCAACTTGTTTTGAAACATAATACTTCAGAAAATATTCTTAACAAACAGAGCAATCCCTTACTTCAAATTTTTCTGTTAGACAGCTCTGACTTATTTAGAGGTTGAGGAGATGTGCAAAACAATCTTGACTGTATTTTATAACAGCTTAGAAAACAGGCTGTGCTCACTTAAAAAGCAAAACAAAATAGAGCTCAAAGGTTTGAACCAGCAAGGAATTAATGTGTGTTTATAATAGATGCTAATATTAACCAAAAACCTAGGCTGCATGACTAGGTAAACCTTTTTAGTGTTTAGTCTTACAAAAACCGTTCAGTCTTCAAACAAAGGAACTAAAATTTTTTTCCACCCACGTACTGAAAGATTTTGGTAGGCTTACGAGAAATAATAATTCTTTGTAAACGTATTCTAATATACTCAAACCATTCCACATGAAAATACAGACAAAATAAAATTTTAAATAAAATATATATTCTAATGCACAAGAAGAAAAGCTGAGAAATGGAAAAGCTATCAATTTTAAGATGGACTTCAATGCTACTAGCCAAATCTCCTTCAATATAAGGTCTGTGGGAAAGAAAATTCTACCTTAATCATATTCAGGTATGTAAATAATAGTTGTATCCCCAAGTTTCTAGTCACTTGCTTACTGAAGCAATAATATGATACATTGAAACTGCTTCCATTTCAGGAGAACCTTGTTATAAAGAACAGAGCTAGGAGCATTAGAATGTACTTGCCTGTGAGTATAGTGAAATGAGCTAGACTTTTTGGTTTAGTTAATTACAGAATCTTCCCATCAAAAATAGAATCTCTAACTTAAAAAAAAATACTTTCTTTGGTAACATTTCTTATCAGAGCCCACAAAAATTCTTTTTAAAAATAAAATGATACTTCAAGATGTAGATACAAAATTCTCAAAAAATTGTCACTTAAAAACACATGACTTCCTGTTTCTGTTCATATCAAAAAGCAGATTATCTTTACACAGTCTCTGTTGCTCCAAGGAATTCCATTTCTATGGCAGCTTTTGGCACTTGGACTGAGCCACTCTTCTTTCGAAATTCTGCCGCAATTTCCTCAAAGGACTTTCCTTTGGTTTCTGGAACTTTGAAAAATGTAAACAGTGTAAAGGCTAGGACCACTCCAGCGAAGATGAAAAACACATATGGTCCACATAAGTCCTGCAGAGAGAACAAACACAGAGTTCCAATTAGCAGCTGTTCTCCTCTGTGTTCTGCTCAGTAAATTTGCACAATATTAAGCTTCTTACCGCAATGTACTGGAAACATAGAGCTACAATGAAATTGCAGGTCCAGTTGCTGAATGCAGCTAGTGCCAGAGCAGCAGGGCGTGGTCCTTGACTGAAAAACTCTGCTACCATGAACCAGGGAATGGGGCCTGGCCCGATTTCAAAGAAACTGACAAAGAGGAAGATGGCTACCATGCTCACATAACTCATCCAAGCCAATTTATTCTGAGGAAAAACAAAACAAAAACAAACGTGAAACTGGGATCACTGGCTATGGCTTCCTGTAGCTAAGAGACTCATTGAGTTCAGAGGCAACGTGGCTCTCTTCATGATAGGTTTATACTCAATCAAGTAGAAGTTATTCTAGTCTGAGACGTTTAATCTGGTTTGAGTCATGCTTAAATCTTTTGAGCTCCGTTATAGGAAATCCTCTGGATTTAGAGCTTTATATTACTCTCAGTCACTCTTTTCCTGTGAAGGAGGCAAGGCAAAGATCAAGTGATCTTTGCCCCTATTCATATCAAGATTGCTAAACAGGATGTATGACCCGCTATGAGGTCGTGGTTAAGGGCTGGAAGGTTCTGGTACCTGCCCAAGGTCACAGGCTGCCAAATGGCAGAGCCAGCATTAGAGCCTGACCCCAGAGCCTGTGCTCTGACCATTTTGCTACATTGTCTCCCTGGGTAACAAGAACAGTTTACTTGCTGATATTCAGTCTTTAAACCCAAAAAACTAGTTCCCTTTTTCTTTATATTTCTCCTTTACATTATATACTGCTTCTCTGGCTTTATATCATAAGTCAACCTCAAAGGTTTTTCACATACAAAGTACTTTAACCTGAAGCCCAGAAGGGCTGTTATATGGTAACTGAAACTCTCAGTTCAGGCACCAAACTCACCAATAGTAAAAGTCCCACCGACATGAGGATGGCGCAGACAGACATCCCACTCATTCCGATTAGAAACAGAGAGCGTCGCCCTGCCTTCTCCACAAGGAATACCTAGGAAAGTTTTCAAGTATATTGGCTTTATATTTATGTAGTTTTTATTGCTAAAGAGGTCATTATAGTTTATACTAAACTAAACTGGAAGGAGACAGGTTCTCTTATTCCATTTTACACGTGTGGAAGTGAGGAGGGAGGTAACTCTTGCCTGAGGTGGCAGAGCTGATGAACAGAGGTCATTAATAAACAGCTGCTTCATTTAGTCACAGGGATTTGAACAGGCCATTCTACAGGAAAAAAAACAGTGTTACTACCATTCTAAAATTACCACTTTGGTTACAGTATTAAGAGGTCATACATCTTGGATCTCTCCCAGTAGATTTCCTGTGCATTTAAAATGGTTCTACATAAAAAATGACAATTTCTTTTCTGATAATTGTCCAATGTTATAAGCACAAGGGCTTGTGCACTGCAGACACCTGAAACAACTATTGATTTATCAACTATTCTTGACCAACATCCTCAATGCTAATAATTATGACCATTTTTCTGTCAACATACAGAATTTGATCACTTTACCAAAACAGTCAGGTCTGCATTTTGCTGGCATGCCTATGTGTACCTGCTGCAGGGAGTGAACTATCCATTTGAAGAGATAAGACATTAAAACAAAATAATGTTAAAGTACTTTTTCTTTATCTTTTTTGGTATCATTAATATACAATTACAAGAGCAACATTGTGGTTACTAGATTCCCCCCATTATCAAGTCCCCACCACATACCCCATTACAGTCACTGTCCATCAGTGTAGTAAGATGGCACAAAGTCACTACTTGTTTTCTCTGTGCTATACTGCCTTCCCTGTGCACCCCCCTACATTATGTGTGCTAATCGTAATGCCCGTTATTCTCCTTCTCCCTCCCTTCCCACCTCCCCACTCCTGTATCTTTTCCTTTGTCAACTGTTAGTCCATTCTTGGGTTCTGTGAGTCTGCTGCTGTTTTGTTACTACAGTTTTTTGCTTTGTTCTTATGCTCCACAGATGAGTGAAATCATTTGGTACTTGTCTTTCTCCACCTAGCTTATTTCACTGAGCGTAATATCCTCCAGCTCCATTCATGTTGTTACAAATGGTAGGATTTGTTTTCTTCTTATGGCTGAATAATACTCTATTGTATACATGTACCACATCTTCTTTATCCATTAACCTACTGATGGTCACTTAGGTTGCTTCCATTTCTTGGCTATTGTAAATAGTGCTGTGGTAAACATAGGGGTGCATATGTCTTTTTGGCTCCTGCATTCTTAGGGTAAATTCCTAGGAGTGGAATTCCTGGGTCAAATGGTATCTCTATTTTTAGTTTTTTGAGGAACCTACATACTGCTTTCCACATGATTGAACTAATTTACATTCCCACCAGCAGTGTAGTAGGGTTTCCCTTTCTCCGCATCCTCACCAGCATTTGTTATTCCTAGTCTTTTCTATGTTGGCCATCCTAACTGGTGTAAGGTGATATCTCATTGTGGTTTAAATTTGCATTTCCATGATAATTAGTGATGTGAAGCATCTTTTCATGTGCCTGTTGGCCATCTGAATTTCTTCTTTGGAGAAGTGTCTGTTCATATGCTCTGCCCATTTTTTAATCAGGTTATTTGCTTTTTGGGTATTGAGGCACGTTGAGTTCTTTATATATTTTGGATGTTAACTCCTTGTCGGATATGTCATTTACAAATATATTCTCTCATATTGTAGGATGCCTTTTTGTTCTGCTGATGGTGTCCTTTGCTGTACAGAAGCTTTTTAGCATGATTTAGTCCCATTTGTTCATTTTTTATTTTTCTCCCTAGCCTGAGGAGATGTGTTCAGGAAAAAGTTGCTCATGTTTATATTCAAGATAATTTTGCCTATGTTTTTTTCTAAGAGTTTTAATGATTTCATGACTTGCATTAAGGTCTTTGATCCATTTTGAGTTTACTTTTGTGTATGGGATTAGACAATAATCCAGTTTCATTCTCTTACATGTAGCTGTCCAGTTTTGCCAACACCAGCTGTTGAAGAGGCTGTTATTTCCCCAGTGTATATCCATGGCTCCTTTATTGTATATTAATTGACCATGTATGCTTCAGTTTATATCTGGGCTCTCTAGTCTGTTCCATTGGTCTATGGGTCTGTTCTTGTGCCAGTACCAAATTGTCTTAATTACTCTGGCTTTGTAGTAGAGGTTGAAGTAGGGGAGTGTAACGCCCCCTGCTTTATTCTTCCTTCTCAGGATTGCTTTGGCTATTAGGAGTCTTTTGTGGTTCCATATGAATTTTAGAACTATTTGCTCTAGTTTGTTGAAGAATGCTGTTGAAGAGATTTACGATTAGCCAGGACCAGGGTTTGTTGAATAGACTCTTGTTTGGTCCGTGGAATACTGCCAAGGTTGGTGAGTCACACAAGCCAAAGCTACCTGTTATAATATCTCACTTTAGTGAGTAAATTGGCTAGGCTCACAAATCTATCAGTAAATCAACAGCAATCCAATACTTTCAGTATTCTGGTCTCCAGTTCTGAAAATATCTGAGGAACCTTTCTTTATGCCTTTCATCTCAGAGGCATTTCACATTTGAGTTTCAAACCACTTCAGGATAGTGAGCAAGGAGCCCACACTTAATTGTTAACAAGTAAGTGGGAAAACAACCCTTTCTTAGGCCTTGTAAAATTTCTCTATATAGTCTGACTCTTTAATTATGACTTTCAAAACTGACTTGATGACACTGTTTCAAGTTACCAAGAAAACAATAATTTCTTCAGAAATAAGGACTTTTACTATGTTTCTGAGCAACTATTACTAATAGGATAATAAATTCTAAAACTACTTGCCTTGAAAATTGAATTGGACTCACTGCTTGAGGCCAGGTGAATGCTTAGGGAGGAATGTGACACAGGATGAGACTTCATCAGAGGCTAGGGACATCTGCCTGACCATACTTGTCTTCTTAGCCCAAGACAATGTGTGTTGCCAGGTCCTGATTGCCTAGTTGGAGTTCGTGAGCCACTGCTTCTCCTCTAGACCAATTTGTCTCCCAATTTCCTCCATATTTCTTCCTGTTTTGTTTTCTCTTTCTTAAGAATATGGGTTCTCTTCCACTGGCCCATTAGTGTTGAAGAAAATATGGAATGTGGAAGATAATTCAGTGTGGAGTTAAGAAATTCTCTTTTCCCCCAAATACCCATTCAGAACAAAGAAACTGAATATTTTCTTTCCAAATTGGTGAAACATGAATATCTTATTAGTACATATTCCTATTTGCATCTTTTTTTGAAAGGATACACAGAATTTGATAACTGATTATTTGGGGGGAGAGAAATTGGATGACTGAGGGACTATCCTGTTTATGTTTTTGAACCATAAAATAATTTTCAAAGATAAATATAATTAAAAATTTTAAATGTTATTTGTAGACTGGGAGGGTTAATTAGCTGATTAGAACTATTTTTTTTATTGTATCATTCATTTGCTCAAATACTTTCACAGAATAAAAGGATGCATTCCAAAAATGTATATTCAAAATAATCAAGACACTTTTCAAAACAACTCCCACTCCAACTGGGTCGATGGGTGAAAGGGAAGGGTGGGGGACAAAAATGAAATTCTGCAGTAGTTTCCTTTCTAAGCATTCTTAGAGTTTGGTTTAACCAATCTTGACAAGCTGTTGCTTTACATAGCAAATCCTGTTACATATAAAATGTTTTAATCGAAATCTGTATGTTAGAAAAATGTTATGTTGAAGTAAGATTTGTAAAAAATACTATCTCAGGGTACAAATGGATGTCAATAATTCCTTACTGGGATTATAATCCCAGTTCCAAGCTCCATTGATTTAGAGTGGCCTTTTGGTTTGAACAGGCATTATCTCTAAAGGCATGTCTACAGAGCTACTGGTGTTGCCTTGTTATCTGTTCTTCCTCCTCTTTCCAAGGTCCAACACTGTTTAATGTAGTCTGGACAAACCTGCCTTTTGATCTAGGTAGCTAGGCTGTAATTTATTGACCACCCTAAGATAATAGTTAAAAGTCCATGTGCAGGGAATGAAAAACAAGTAAAGTTTATTGAGCATAGCATTGTGACCAAAATTGAAAAGCATAAGCTTTTTGAACATCCTGCATTCAAAGATAAAAATAAGCCTAATTACCTGCATTTTAAAGTAAGTTACATTAATTAGGAAATTTTGGGTTTAGTTTTGTTGTTTGTTTACTTTAATTCTTAGGTTTCTATGTCAAATAGTACTATTGTCAAGATACTGAATCATTCCTTATGTAAGGTATTTGGTCTTAAAAAGAGTGTATGACCTGTTCCCCTTGTCAGAAAAAAGAAAATTTCAAAAATAAAGAACATTTGAAATTTTAAAAAATGTAACATGTTAAAAAGAACAATAAGATTTCAAGTTATACCACTTCTACCCCTTTGTCTCAGAGTATCACACATACTCCCTATATCACCAGAAGCCATCCCTTGTAAACTTACCTGGGAGCTCCTTCCAGTGGCCTAACATCATAAGGATTTGCTGAAACCGTTTAATATTGCTAGAGGCATAGATATCTATTACAGATGACCTTGTTTATTTAATGTTTTTCCTAAGACTAAGGATAAAAAAGGAATTTCAGACAGAAGGGAGGGAACCTAGGTAGAAGACCCAGTATTGATAGAAATGGCAAACTGTCAGCTAACCCCAAGAAACTTATGTAAAGAGCAAAGAAGGAACGCAGATATTTACATAAGGAGAAAGTCCTCTGTGCCCTTCAGTGAGTTATTAATTCACAAATGAGTGACTAAATTGCATCCCGGCAGATGGGGAAACCAGTGATCCACCTTTTTAGTTATGCTTAGTGGTTGGTTATTCACATACAGGACTCTTCCCGTGACTCACTTGGTTCTACAGGTACACCTGGTGCATGTGGACAGTGTCATCAATCACTTTAAATCACAAGGTTTTTCTTCCCATTTCTGGATGGAGGAACAAGCAGAGTATTTATCTAGAATATTAACTTACAGAGACAGCAGTGAAAACCATGTTGATGACACCAACTCCGATTGTTGCATAAACAGGTTGGCTGATTCCAGCTGTCTGAAAAATGCTAGTGGAGTAGTAAAAGATCTGCAAAGTAATAACAGTTTAACTTTAATCAAGAATTCCAGCACTGGTAGCTTTAAAGCAAGAAAAATTTTTGTTTCTATGGAACCATGGTCCCTAGAGTTCCCTAAATATTTTATTTGTCCTCTCCTTCCAGGGACAGAGAAACCACAATCATCCTTTAGTGTTTAAAGCTTCTGATTGCTTTAAAGTTCTCCTCATATTTAGCTGAAAACTCTGCATCTGCATTTGAAAAGATTTTTCTTAATTTTCAAAAATTTTGTTAAGGTATAAAATACATACAAAAAAGTACACAAAGCGTAAGTGTACAGTTAATTATCACAAACTGAACACACCTGTGTAACCAGAACTCAGATTAAGAAATAAATCATTTCCAGCCCTCCAGAAGCCCCCCAAATGTCTTCCAACTTTTAATATCATAGATAAATTTTGCCTAGTCTTATACATGCTGTAAATGGAACCACATAGTATTATTTGGTATCTGGCTTTAACATTACCTCTGTGAGAATTATCCATATGATTGTGTGTATTTTTTACACTATTCATTATCATTGCTGTATAGTATTTTGTTTTAATATACCACAATTTATAGGTAACTACCTATTCTATTACTGATGGATATTTAGGTAGTTGTCATTTAGGATTGATTGTGAATGGTGCTGTTATGAACATTCTAGCGCAATCCTTTTGGTGAAAAATGTACACATTTGCACCTAGGAATAGACTTGTTGGACCATCATGTATGCATATGGTCAGCTTTGATAGATACTGCTAGTTTTCCAAAGAAATTGTGTCAATTTATACTCTCACCAGTGTGTATAAGAATTCTGGTTTTTATTACATTTAACCCCACATTTTCCACTAGTCTCAGTGGAAGATGAAGAAATCTGGTTCACAACCTCCCTAATAGCCTTTATTAGTTATGTTTTTGTGCTAATAATTGTCTATTAGATCATTCTGTAGTTCTGTCATCCTCATTCCTGTCCCACATAACATGTCCTTTTGCTACCACGTCTTCCTGCTGACGGGGCTGATGCAGGGCTGTGTGAACTGTGTGCAGTGAGGACAGCTCACAGCATCTGTACACTCTCCCCCCATTTTTAGGCAGCTCAGCAGCCTCAGGTTCAACATTTCCTGGCTGCCTCTATGCCAGGCACGGGGATAGAAGATAAAATCAGGAGGTCTGATAGATTAAGTACTGTGCCATTGGTATACAGGCAGAGCTCAGACAGGAGATGTGAATTTGGTCTGTAAGCCCCAAAGTTATATAGGATATTGGATAAAAATGAATATCAAGTGCCCCTTAAAAAAGAACAGAGATGACAGCAGAGCAGTATGCAGCTTGTGGGGTGAATTCAGCTTTTGCTTCAACTGATGGGAACTGCTTTCGTTGCCTCCCCCAAATCTCTGCCTGTCCATTGGTCAGCCCCAAAGTGTCCCTTGTGGATTTGGGGTGGGCTCATAGAGGAAGCCCAAGGTACATTTTTAACAGCAATGAAATGGGATAAGAGGTTTTCTTTACTCAATTTCTTAATAAATGTCTAATTTTTTCTTCTGCTAGCTAATTGCCAGTAGAACAACTCAATTCTGAATAATGCAAGGATACCAATTTAAAACCTTAAAGCTGGCTAGTTAATACTCAATATTGTTTTTCAGTTATGTCTTATCTACTACCACCACTCAGTAATATTGTGCCTTTTCACTCTATTTTTATTTTGTGCGCTGACTCTCCAAGTAGAGTGAAAGTTTCTTGGGCAGCAGGAACTTCTTTGTCCTTGGCTACCTGGTATACTTCACCTAACTAGAGGGAACCATGGACTCCTATGCCTAGGCTATCAGAAATCTTAAACTTAATGCTCAACTCTAGAAGCCCTTTGTAAGTTAGTTTTTCTGGTATAAATATTCTCTTCTTCCCTCTTTCATATTTATTATGTCTGTTGCCTTTTTACCTTCACTTTAATAGACATACAGTACCATTGATTGTTGACATTTTTTAAAAATTGTAAGCTAGCCTTAGAAAGCAGATAAAGCAGAACCAAGAAAACAAATGCTCACGCAATATATGTTGTAGTAAAACATGTGATGTCAACAGTTAAAAACTACTTTTAGCTATTTAAACTTGTGCCACTTCTCTATCTTAATCCACTTTGCTCTTAAGAGTTAGGGGGTATTCTTAAACTTACCCCATTGATTCCAGAAAATTGCTGAGCCATGTGTAGCATCAGTGCCACTAGAATAGGCTGTTGGTAGCTAGAATTGGTGAAGAGCTGAATTATGGAGACTTTCTGTTCACATGATGCTTCTTCCTTTTCTTTTCTCATCTCAGTGATGTCTTTGTTGATATCAGCATCTCCTCTGAGTTTTTTCAAGCCTGTCCCCAAAAATGATCAGGATGGTACAACCCAAGTCAAAACAAAAATAAATTTATTTTTATTATGTTGATGAAAACTACAGTTCTGCACAGCCTTTTCTATTACTTAACAGCAAGGGTACTGGAAATGCTTTTTTGTTAAATTAAATCCCATTTATTTTTTTTAAAAAGCAGAACATTTGGTTTTCTCTCCTGACAAAACCATGATCCCCATTATCATAGAAGCATAACACATAGAAAGGTCTTTCAGAAGTGTCTGGCTGAGTCCAATACCCTGCATGTGGTTGTCCCATTTGGGTGTGAGTGAATTATGGGTATGAAATGGCATACAGCATTCATATTAAAGTGATCGTGCACATTCTTCTTACACATAATCACTGATTTCATTTGGAAGGCACTGGTACCAATTTCACAAATAACCATCCATGCATACTGGTTTTCATTAGCTAATAGTTCCAAAACAATAAGAAGAAAAAAAGGCACCCACAGCCTTACTTTTCTTTGCTTTGACTTCCTCATCCAACTTGATGTAAAGGTATCTGGGGCTTTCTGGACAGAAGAAGAGCAGCAGAGACTGGAGGATGGCTGGCACAGCAGATAGACCAAGCAGGATGTGCCACCACTCATGATTTCCCAGGATAAACTCAAGGCCAACAATCTGAAAAGGCAGGGAGGTAGCATAGCAAGTGCACAGCACTTTAGGTCTGCCTTCTGCAACAATTTGTTGAAATAGGACATTAGCTATTTAGTAGTGATTCTGATACTTTGATTCAAGTATACAGAAGACTTGTATGACTAGTAGGTCTCACCTTAACTAAATTAGGGACTGGAAGTCATTAACAAATATGGGACATTTAGGATGAGAATCAATCAAAAAAAATTTTTTTAAAGAAAAGGATTATTTATTTAAGTTAGGAACACAGATAAACAAATCCATTTTAAACTATCAGTTAAACAAATCCTGCAATAATATGTCTGAGACATAACATAATTATAGCAGGATTCTTGCTAAGAATACAACTGTTTTAATATAACATAAGCCTATTGGTGTAATTCACAGCATTTAAAGATTAAAGGGAAAAAAAGATTGTGTTCCTTTTATTAGATGACTATTTTATTAGTTGACTATGTATTTTTTTAAATTTTATTATCATTAATATAAAATTATATGAGCAACATTGTGGTTACTAGATTCCCCCCATTATCAAGTCCCCACCACATACCCCTTTATAGTCACCGTCCATCAGCGTAGTAAGATGCTATAGAGTCACTACTTGTCTTCTCTGATCAATCATATTTTTAAGAGCACATTTGATATCTCAAACAGTACCAAAAATCATGCAAAACTTTGGATCTTTGTTAAAAAAATTCTTCTTAGATTATCCAGAAATTAAATAGAAGGGGGTTACATAGAACAATTACTCTAATGAGAGCCAAGTTTGTGATTGCTATTGCAGTGGCTAATCCACTGGGTAGTCATAGGCTTGAGATTTTGGGGACACCCTCCGGAGACCATGGGATAGAAGGGAAGGATAAACTCAACTGAACAAGAAGTGCTATGGCAATCATATTAAATTTCCAGCTAAAATGTTCAAAAGAAAGGAAACCAAACCATCAAAAATTTGAAGTTTTATATTCTTTGAAATCTAAATGGAATAATTTAATTCTTGAATAGATCCAGGAGTTCAAGATCCGGTTTGCCAGGTTACCACCAGCACCACCCCACCACAACTCAAAGGGAAGGAGCAGAGTAGTAATGATTTAGTTTAGAGCAAAAAAGCCTATGTCTCTATACCACCTCCACTACCACTGATGGAACTGGCTTTTTCCTCTTTGTTGGTCTACAGTGAGAATAGACAGCCAGGGAGTGAGAAGTTGGGTAAAACAGGGGATAGGAGTTTTTACCTGACTAATAAGAATGCCCGTGACAATGGCCAGCTGGTGAAGAGTGCCGAGAGCACCCCTGAGCGTGACTGGAGCAATTTCACCAATGTACATGGGAACCAAGCCTGAAATCAGCCCTGCATGAAACATGAGCGTGAATGTCAAAGTGCAGCCTGGGCTCGTTCCGTAACAGTAATTTGGTTTAAGTGTAGTCAGTATCCTGACTGAAAGTCCCTTCCCGAGTCTGTTGGAAGGAAGAGCCCTTGTTGCCAATCACAGTCACAGTTTATGCAAAGAATATTTGTTGCTAAGACTCCAAATGAAGTTTTATTGGATATATGATTAGAAAGAAATTGTTAGTCATGAATTTGACAATTAGTCATAGTGTTTTCTTATTTAGTTAAAAAACTCTATGTTAATATTGAGATTACATCGTAATGCCTTAGATTGTCTTCAGAAAAGAGACAGAAGAATACTTTAACATATTCTTAATCTAGATTCATGGGAGTAAAGGAAATTTAAACATATCTAGGCCAACCTTTTTACTTGATAGAGGTGAGAAATGACTTCCTAAGATCACAGTGCAATAGAGCATTCACTTGAGAACCACGAGCCCTATCTGAGTTTTCACAATTTGGAGGCACCACAAGATCACTCTTAGAGAGGGTGCAGAGAGGTGGAAGAGGTTAAGGAACTAAGGGGGAGCTCCTCCCCAATTACTCCAAATGGAGCAATCCGCTTCTTTATTCTTCCAAATTATAGGCTTCAGAAAATATTTTAGTTGAATAAAGACTTTGGTGCTTAAAAGAATACAAGAATTTTGAAAAATGCTAGGCCATTCTGTTTTCCATAGCTTCCTTAAATGCAGATGTAATCAGTCATCTCAGAAATGATTGAGTATCCAGCTATTTGTTGAGTACATAAAAAGGCCCAAGACTATCAATAAGCAAGGCTGAAAGCAATGCTTGGCATTTTCTTAAGAATTTAAAAATGAGATTTGTCAGAGACTTCTTAGACTTCTTGCCTATCAAATGGAAATGGACAATCTTTGTGTAAAAGATGCTTTTGGAAACAGTATTTTTTCAGTGCTTCAAACTGTTCTTAACATCCCACATGAACATTTGCCTGGTTGATAGAGCATCTGGATTTCAGCTGACTTTCAAGTATGACTCTAATGTGTGGTCTGTTGAACTTAAATAAGAACAAATCCCATTTATTGGATCCTATTCTGGACTGCACTATTCTTATGTAGTATCTACTATTATATCTCAAGAACAGAATAATGTAGTTAAGTTCATAGGTCTGAAGTAACATGAACTGGAAGTCAAATTGTATTTCCTATCACGTTTAGCAATTTTAGTGCTTAAAATACAACCCGACATAATTTTAAAAGATAGTTGGAGGGCCCAAGTTACTTGGCTACGCTAGTGGTAGGTTGTTCCACAGTGTGTTTGTAACAATTCTCTTCAGTTTTTCCAAAAACATTTTTTTATAGTGTGTGTTAAAAAATGAAGAAGAAAGAAGGATCATGATTTGGATCACTTATTTGCATTTTACAAAAGAGGAAACTGAGGCTCAGATTCAATTACTATACCTAAAGCCAGACAGAGACAGTATTAATTCATTTTAAATCGGAAGCTCTTTCCGCATATAGGCTGACTCTTCACTGTGATAAAGCTTTTGTAACTTTCACTTATTTGTATTAACATTGAAAATAATGAAAGGAGAAATTTAATTAAATTATTAACTTGTGGGTATTTTAGACTTTTGTTCCAACTGGTCATTGAAGACAAATGGAACTATATAGTCTTTTCACAAGTAGAAGTGTTATAAATATTTTATACACCATTTTGTGCTCTAGTCCTTCCTCTCCCATTTTTAGTGGATGCTAATGCTTTGAAAGACAGCTATGATTTGGGACAATGGGTGAAAACCTTGGCTCCAAACCATCAGAACCAGGGCTTCACTGACATCAAGAAACTAAAGACTTGGCTGCTTTAGAGATTGAATGATTCTCCCTTTGTTCAGACCTCTGCTGATTAAATTTGCTTCTGAAAGTTTGAAACTTCCCAAAATTTGAAAAACTGTTTCCAAGAACTAGTGATTCTAGCTATTCAGATGTGAAGTTCATGGGAGGAGTATTCTTCCTTCATAACAAACTCATCTACCAGCTACTTCAACATAATTTCCTTTCCCTGTGCCACTTCAATGCTCGCCCAGGCCACAGTGGAAACAGACATATCAGGAATGTGGTCTGAGACATGGGCCCTGGTGTCAAGGCCTTTCCAGATAGAAGACACAGACCCGAGGGGCCAAACAGGCCATAAGAGTCGACTTAGAGGTTCTGGGTGTTGCAGTCTTCCACTGTCTACTGAATGACAGGAGTAGCAACAGCTGGCATTTTTTGGAAGCTTCCTATAGTCAGATTCTATGCTGAACACTACATGTTTTCTCACAAGTGCTCTATGAGCTGGATATTATCCTCTTCATTTAGTAAATAAGGAAACTGAGAGTTAAATAATTTGTCTGACATCATATAACTAGAAATTGCCGGGGGCGAGAAGATAGCTTCACCAAACCCACTTACTGGTCCCAAACCTCCCTAAGGACTTGAACATTATGCTATTGCCTTTCCCTTTTGTGATGCCACCTCAGGTTCAAAAATTTTCCTTCATGTTACCACATCTGCCTTTAGAATAATTTGCAGACATGTGTGTGTGTGCATGTGTGTGTGTGTGTGTGTGTGTGTGTGTGTGACTTACCACAATAGAGTCCTGATATGCTTCTTCCTGAAATTATAAGAATGTGGGATGGTCCCAATTTTGAAAACCCCATCAAGAGAGCTCCAACTAATGAGAGAATGTTTGCTACCAACATGGCTTTGATTCTGAAATTTTAAAAAGCAAGGATTATAAATTTAGCATCAGACTTGATAAAATTATTTGCTTTCAGAGTATGCTGAGATATTCACCAAAGAGCAATTATTTTAATTTTGCTGAAATAGCTAGTTGGGGAATCTTAAACCATGATTTCTACTTTGATTTATCTGTGGATTAAAGCATTAACAATAAGTAATATTTGTCATGAAAGAATCTGGTGTCATGTACCTTGTTTCCAGTTTGATAAAGATTATTCAACTAGTGGGGATGACTAATTTGATTAAGATAGCACTTCTGACACTTTTTCAAACAGTTAACTAAGTTTTGTACAAGTTGATTGTCTTAGAGAATAATTGGCTGGTGATAGGTACATTAAATTCTGTAGTTGTAACTGATGACATCCTATTTCTTTCTTTTCTTTTTCCTTTTAATCGCACAGGGTTAGTTGATGTAGACCATGAAACAAACTTTCAAAGTTAAATTCCCTTTAGTGTGAATTATTTGGAAGTAAATTAAAATATACTTTTTACTTTAAGCCTTATCCTTGAGAATTGTAAGTGTTCTTATTTTAACAATATATGTTAGCATATTCCCGGAATCTATGAATTAATGTAACCAAAATAAAATATGTAATAAAACTGACATAGCAACAAAAAATCATTTACAAAATTAATCACATGAAAATAGATAACGTTTGCAGATAATTTATATTTTTATTCCTATTGAATGACAGAGCGAGGTACATCAGAACCTTCAAAGTTCAGTAGATGATGATATGGCCAATAAAGGAATCTGAATGGACAGATGTGGAAATATTTATGCCACAAAGAAATGCAAGCTCTTCTTATGTTCTATTTCAATCTTTCAAATTTTAATAGGTGAGCTTTACCTAAGCAAGTATCTTTAACACCAAACAGATTTTTTTCTTTGTGGAGAGTAAAGCTGTATAATCTCATACTGCAGTGACTACCCAACAAGTTTGAGATAGGCTTAATAATACTCCCGTGGAGTCCACATCCTAATTCTCAAAACTCTGGGAATGTGTTGCCTTATATGGCAAAAGGGATTCTGCAGCTGTGATTAAGGTAAGTAATTTGAGATGAAGAGATTATTCTGGATTATCGTTGTAGGCCCAATGATGCAACCACAGTATCCTTGTAAGAAGAGGGCAGAATGTGGTGACAGATTGAACTAATGTGCTTTAAAGGCTGAAGAAGGGGCCACAAGCCAAGGAATACAAGTGGCCACCAAAAGCTGAAAAATGCCAAGGAAATGGGTTCTTCCCTCAGAACCCCCAGTAAGAATCGGCCCCTCTGAAGCCTTGACTTCAGTCAAGTGAAACTGAATTTGGACTTCTGACCTCCAAAACCAAAAGGAAGAAATTTGTGTTGTCTAAAACCACTAAATTTGAGTAATTGATTATAGCAGCAATCAATAGGAAACTAATGTATAGAAACTGGCAGTTACTAAAAGGCAGGGGAAACAGTGATTTAGAGCTGACCAGCTTCCAAGCTGCAGAGTAGAAAAAGACAAGGGTGTTTCTCTATGAAGTACTTTCTTTCCACACAAGGACAGAAGGCAGGCAAATTCAATAATTTACCTTAAGAAATTCTTACTAGCTAGCTAATAGTATATTCTATCAGGGAGGGAAAAGATTAAAAGTCTTTGAAAAGGTAGTCTGAAAGTATTTTTGATGCCAGGATGCTCTAAAGTCCATCTTCCTTAACCACTGATGGATGAGGAACACTTTAAAACAACTTAGGGGATTTTAACTTGCACTCAGACTGAGAAACACGAACAATAAATACTCTTAAGTACATGAAATGGTTGAGTGAGGGAGAAGCAAATATGCTTTTAAGTATATTTCTTTGAATCCGGCTCTAAATCGTGCTGTTAGCATGGGCTGTATCATGGTCACCACTGTCATTGTGATCATGACTGAAGTGACACATTCGTTGCCTGCTTACTGCATGCCGGGCCTTGGGCTAAACCCTCTATTTGTTCTCATTTAGCCTCACAATAATGCCATGAGGTAGGTATTATTTTATCTCACATTGCAGATGGTGGGGGAAACATCTTAGAGAACCTAAATAACTTGCTCATTTTCATACAGCTATTAAGTGACAAAGCTGGGACTGGAACTGTGTAAAACCAAAGGCTAATGCTTCATTTTAATGTGTTCCATTTTTTGATACAAAAAATGCATTCAAAGGCAAGCTGTGTGTACCTCCCTTGACTCATGCTAGTGAATCGCACAGACCATAGTCTACAGTACATAACAACATAACCTATGATTATGTTGTAAGGGCACAGCCTCTGGAAAAATTGACCTTGAGAACGTACATCTGTACAACAATGGCCATAGACATCTATTGACTATTACACAATTATAAGGAAGGACCTTTTTTAAAGTGATAATGGAAAATACATTATTTATTTACTTATTTTTAACTGGTGGAGCAATGACCCTGGTGATAGGAAAGTCATGCCATTTCCCTGCAAATCTTCCTAGAAAAGTTTTATAGGAGAGGCTGAACTCTTTTGTTTTAATTTGGAAGTTAAATTTGTTAATTTTGTGGCTGTTTTTCAAGGAGTTTCATTTTTCTACTGACAGCTGAAAGAAGCCTCACTTTTAGTTTACCATAAGTCATTTAATAAACAATCATTTGACATTGTTTTGGGGTATGATTATTGTTGATGCTAAATGCTATGACTCGAGAGGACATGCATCCTGGTTACATCATTGGGCACTAGTTAAATGTTTTAGAATAAGTTACTAGACCTGTCAGAACCTCATCTCTAACTGAGATGACAAGGGCTTAAAGTTTTTCTTCAGAATAGGAAGAAATACAAATACCAGTAGCTGCTAAAAGAACTGGATTGTCCATATTTTAAATTTAATTTAACATTGTTTAACTTTATTTATTTTAGAAATAATTAATCTAGAAAAGTATTGAATTACTGTTTAAACCAACTTGGTGCAAATTTAAAATGATTTTTAATTTTTTAAATGACTGAAGTCAGTTTATGAACTCTATAATTCATAGATTCTCATTTAGAATTCAGCTCAACACCAGTAAGTTGGCAAAAATGTAAGAAACTGATCATTTTCTCTTTTATATTGGAGGAAAGTCCCTTTCAAATAAGAAAAATAATAAAACTTGGGTTCTAATGCTATCCATTACTTAAGAAAACTTCTTATATATAGTTTTATTATTTAAATTATCTAGTGCTAGAGAAAGAGGTTATCAATATTTTAATAACCAGATAGATGAAATTATAATTTAAAGTAGGAATTTAAAAACCTAATGAATTGTGATCCAGAGTTACTAAAATGGTTGCCTACATCATTTACATCTTTACAGGTTTTTGTATTTTCTAGAATTTCCATATCTGCATATTTATTTTTATCATCAGAAAGAAAGGCAATTAATAAACAAAAGATGAGCTCAAAGACAATCTGAAGAAATAACCATTTAATGTTCTTATTTTATTTCTTCTCTGTGGAGAGCTGGGGAAATCCCAAGAGCTTTAGTATGTCACATGACTAAGTGAAATACGTGTAAAGGGGTTCCACTAATGTTTTTAATTCGAAACACCTAATAGAAATCAGAGTAGAGAAATGGAGACAACACTTGATTCTTCTCTGGCTGGGGCTTGAGATAGCCGTAGCAGCACCTAGAAACCACACCAGGTATACCCTGCAAATGGGAGCTGGGGATATTGAGTTGACCTTAGGACTTGACTGTCCAAATGCTAAATTCTAATTTGAAAATGAAAAACTGGATGTTTGAGAAATGAAGTGAACGATTTGATGAAACAAATAGTGGACATTCAGGTTAAAGATTTCATTCTCGATTCTTCTCTGAAGTTCCTGAATTAACCATTTGTGCAGCGGCTTCTTAATATGTTTTTTAACTTACAGAGCCAAGGAATCGAAGTGGTTATCTAGAAATACACACCAAACTCAACTTTTGCTGTAAATGACTCCTTAATTAAGTGGATTGTGGCAACAGCTTTCTCCATTATTTGGTCCAACATCAACCTAACTCATAGGGTCATGACTTGAAAAAATAACTCTAAAACTATTCCACAAAAGGAAAGATGATTTCTTTCTAAATAAATTCTTATAAACCCCAAAGACTTAAAGTTCCATGTTTGTGTTTACTTAGGAAATTTGCCTACCTTCCAAGCTTGTCCCCAAGCCAGCCACCAAAGAATGATGCAATCATTCCACCAACTGCAAAGCTGGACACAGACAAGGACCAGAGCATGGTGATGTGGCTAGTGGATGCCACAGTCTCTTCCTCCACCCAAAGCGTTGGTGTTGGATTGCTTAGGTATGGGCCTGTGGGAAGTTCCTTTGTGTTGTTGAGAGCATAGTTGTTGATGGCTTTCCGGTCATCCAATGGAACACCCAAAATATGTCTATAGTGGGATGTTATTACCTAAGGAAATAAAGAAAAATAGCTCCAATATTTTTAATATTCTATATCTTTTTCTTGTTTTGCCTTATAATGTTTGTTAGGAATTTAAACAGGATCCTCCTGATTATGTGTATTATATATATACAAACACAGATAGATGATTTATAGTTGACTACATTCTATAAAAAAGAGGCCACAAATTCCAGTGCCAGCAGGAACCAGCAGGAAGAAATTAGTGAAGGAGGGGAGGAGAACCTCAATAGCTAGAAGATGAAACACTGTTTCTTCTAGTGAAGATAACATGCCAAGTAGGTAAGATTATAGCGCTGGAGAGTGTTTGCCCCATTCAATGTGGAAGCTGCAACTGTGAGACCAGTGTTGCATGACTTTAATTTTTAAAAAGAAGCCAGAAATTTGGGTTTTAATGTAAAATTATTCAAATTTTAAATGTTGATCACTAATTAAATTGAAAATATTCTGCAGGCTAAAAAGTACATTTTCACACCAGTGTTACCTCAGCCCAGCAGGATTTAAGTTGACTTAGGTAAACATTCCAATAGAAGCATAAAAACAGATCCGAGAAAAAAGATAGGGAAAGATAAGATAGGGCCAAAAATAAAGTTATTATACAAAATTCAGATATTAGGTGCTGTATCCTTGCTAGAAGTGAGCTATAAATTGAGCAATAAACTTCCTAGCAGTCAGTGGAAAGAGAGGTAAACAATCATGTATATTGATGAATTTCAAAGATAAAAACAACTCAGTGGCCCCTGAGAAGGTACTGAGACCTGAAAGAAGTTTTTCCTGTGGGTCCTCACAGAGGTTAGTGTGTAACAGAATGAATGACATTCAAAACTAAATGTCACAGAGACATATTTTATACTGTGTTTCCGTAGTGGCAAAGGATTAAAGGCACATCCTTTAGGCTGCCTTCCTTCCTTGTCATTCCTCTCAGTATTGATTCAGTCACTATTCAGTGACCGTGGGCTGGGCCTTTGACAAGGACCTGGAATTCAGCTCCTCTTAGTTGCTAGTTGTGGGCAAAGTCCTATGTGATAATGTCAGCTGAGTGAGAGAGGGAGTTGACATCCTCTTACGATAAAAGAAGTATGACCAAGACATTTGCCTCATGAGAAGGCCATTATATATGCATAATATGTATAGAAAAAAGGCTGGAAGGAAATACCCAAAATGTTCTCAGCAGTTTGCCCTATGTGGTAGAATAATTATGGGGATTTATTCCCCCATGACTTTCTGCAACAGACATGTGTGGTTTTCATAATCATAAAAATCATGATTTAAAAATACCCTAAAATAATTCCAAATGTCATTCTGCCACCAAAAACAATTGGACCTGAATGACTACTCTTACATAATGGTGTTTATGCAGCTCATTAAACACGGAAGGAAGGTGTTTATGCAGCTCATTAAACACAGAAGGAAGGGAATCTAGCAAGGGGACTAAGCCAGGTATCTGTGGGGATGTCTGTGTTCATGATGTTGAAAAGGTCTTCCACAAAGGAATCTACTGATTCCAAATTATGGTGAATTGAACCAAATTAAATTGGCACATGTTGTCATCACTCACAGAAATATTATATAACTCCAAGGATTATTCCCTAAATCTTTCAGCCTCAGCAAGGTCCACCACACTCATGGTAATATATGGTGCCTGACCAGAGCACATCTTTTGGCCCAAGTTGAAACCCTTTTCAGCCAGCACACATTTCACACATTCATACTCTGTAGTATCTTACATTTTCCTGAGTCCAATTTTCCATTTTCCCTGGAGTTGTAGGAGAAGCAGGTAAAACACGGTGGATTCACAGAAGGCACCCAACAAATGCTTGTACCTTCACCTTATGCCTCCCTTACCCCTCAGCTTCTCACTGGTCTCTCTCTCTCTCTCCTTCATTCACTAAACACTTCTTTGAAAAATTGAGGTATCTATCATTGATATACAATCTCATATTGGTTTCAAATATACAGTACAGTGTTCAACAGTTATCCATGGTATTAAATCCTCACCCCCACTAGTGTGGTTACTATCTGTCAATATAGAAAGATGTTACAGAATCATTGACTATATTCTCCATGCTGTACCACCATCCTCATGGCCAACTTACATTATGATTGAATTTTTGTGCCCCTTTATCCCCCTCACAGTCCCCACCCACCCCAGCCCTTCCCCCATGGTAACCACCAGTCCCTTCTCAGTGTCTATGAATCTACTCTGTTTTTCATTCTATTTTGCTGTGTTTTTATATCCCACAAATAAGTGAAATCATATGATATTTGTCTTTCTCCACCTGGTTGTTTCACTGAACACAATATCCTCTAGATTCATCCATTTTTTTGCAAATAGCAGGATTTCTTTTTTCTTTATGGCTGAATAATATTCCATTGTGTGTATGTACCACATCTTCTTTATCCATTCATCTACTGATGAACACTTAGGTTGCTTCCATATCTTGGCTATTGTAAATAATGTGGCAATAAACATAGGGGTGTATGTGTCTTTTCAAATCAGGGATTTTTGTATTCTTTGGGTAAATTCCTAGAGGTGGAATTACTGAGTCAAATAGGATTTTTATTTTCAGGTTTTTGAGGAACTTCCATACTGCCTTTCACAATGGTTGTACTAATTTACATTCCCACCAACAGTGTAGGAGGGTTCCCGTTTCTCTACATCCTCGCCAATTCTTATTTCTTGTGTTTTAAATAGTGGACATTCTGACTGGTGTGAGGTGATATTTCATTGTGGTTTTGATTGGCATTTCCCTGATAATTAGTGATGCATTCACTAAACACTTTATCAAACACCTTTACACCCATCACTGTGCCTGACACTGGTGATAGGAAGAGGAGTGAGACACCAACCATGCCCTCAATGCCCTGGCAGTCTGAGGTAGAGCTGAGGAAATGAAGTCCAGGTTCCCCCTTACAGGCTGTAGGAGCTGAGAAAAATGACATCCTTCTCTGTCTATTCACTAGATACCAGAGAAGGGATACACAAAATAAAAGAGAAAAATGATAGAAATTATTTGATATTTAAAAAAATCCACTCAAGTAGTCATCATGGAGAAAATCCAAACTTTGTTGGATGTCTTAATTATTATTTAAAAATTTAATATTATTTTACTTTGAATTACCTGTGAGAGATAGGAATTGGGGAAAGACCCATAATCTTTTTAGTGTTTGGGCTTCTAAAGTTTTTAATCTGATTAAGAAATGGGCATAACAAGTTTGCTGGTAGGGTCAAACTGGGGAAAACATATGTTAGTGTGCCTGAAGCACAGTGAGCTGATGCTCAATAAATGTTTGTGTACAGAATGAAACTCATCCTTCTGCTGTTTCCTCTTATTCCCTGGCAGTTTTCATTCATGTATGGCTGGGAGCTCTAAATGAATGCTGCAATAATCTTTTAAGCTTTTTAAAAAAAATCCTTAGGCACATGGTATTCTGGCTAGAGTTTTCTGTAAGCTCAGCAAACAGCAGAGTCAGAGATCAAGAATTATTTATTGCCTTTATTTTGCTGTGAGGGTTATTAAGTAAGGAGTCAGGGCCATGTTATCAGGTTTGGAACCACACACATAGTACCTGAGAAAGGGCTGGAATTACCCTGGATTCCCCACGGGGACAGACCTTATCTTTGTGTAGAAGGAACACACATCTTTCTGTCACTGACAGCAAGTGCACAAAAGAGATTTGAATTATACATTTTTTACTTGCCTGTTGAGGTGCATTGATCACACCAATGTCATATCCAAACTGGAAGGAACCCAGCACAGCAGTGAGGACTGTGAAAGCCAAGGTCCAGGTGACCTGCGGGGAATGAAGCAGAGGGCTGGGAAATGCCAGGCGGTTTCAGTACCCGTCATCCTGTCAGTCTGCAGCTTGGACTTCTGACAGGCTCCAAGGCTGCTTCTTGCCCTTGATACTCATGTGTAGTGGGCCCTGTGCTCTCAGTGGCGGTCAGCCACGTGGACTATGAGAGCCATTCATCATTTCCTCTACATTGCTAAAGCTGAAAACGTTTGGGACAGCTGTTTGCAGTCAGGGAACCAAACATCCTTTTCCACATACATATTTAAGAATCAAAATCAGGACTCAGGACTAGAAATGCTGCTGACCAAAGGAAACTGCCAAGATAAAAATGGTCATTAACATCATTGGGAGAAGTCAAATAAGACTGTAGTGATAAAGAGATGAGGAGCTCTCCTGGACTTTGCAGTGGTATAAATATGCCTCAAAATTCATCAGCCAGCCTTTATCATGATCTGTATCAACATCGAGGTAAAAATACTTTCTAGGATTTGCATCCAGTTGAATCTAGAATTTTGGATTAAGAGATGTTATTTTCCTCCCAACTCCAAAAAATGGTGTAGAAAAGGGCAAAGCATTCATCCCCTTCAACTCATAATTACATGTCTAACCATCTTAGAGAAACCATATTATGCATACAGAGTCACATATAAGGATATTTAGTGCATATGTAAGGATATTTTTTTGTGTGTGTGATAGCAAACATTGTAAAAGAACTTAAATATAATTCAGTGGGGAATGGCCAAATGGATTTCAACACATCATGACACACACAACATGCTATGCAGTAGTTAAAAACAATTCTGTGATCGTTACATACTGACTTACTGTTGGGACAAAGGAAGTTGTATAATCTCATTATTTTTTTTAAGGCTTAAACCTGAGTGTCCTTGGTTTGTGTATGTTGTATATAATTCATAGAATATTTTCTTGAAGAACAAATAACAAGAGGATGAGCTTTGAGGAGGAAAGTGAGATGGGGGTGTGGTAGAAGAGTATTTTTTTCTTTTATTTCTATTATTAGGCATTTTATAAGGAAACTATTTCATGTATAATTACATAACTTAAATTTTCAAATAAGTAACATGAGGTATAGTTGGAACTTTGTTGAATGAATGAATTGAATGAGTCATATCAGTATAGATTCCAGTTCCCACTCTGATACTCAGGAGGTATGTGACCCAAGTGTATAGATCTCCTATAGGATCATTGGTTTTAAAATCTAAATTTGGGATTATTTGTGAATCCCTCTACCTCAGTATGAAAAGTAGCTAATTAACAAGGACCCCTCATTCCCTAATCAAACTGGAGATTATAAATTTCAGTGTCATCATTAACAAAGTATTATCCCTGAACCACCCTGAGAATCCTTGAAGTTATTGAGTCTCATAGTTCTAAAACTAGACCCAACTTGGAGAGCTTGTCACAAGTGTAGCTTCCTGGGGCTCACCCAGACCTACTACTGGATTGGAATCTCTGGGGTGAGAATTGGGAATCTGTGGGTTTGCTACCTCTCTTTCCACTAAATCAGAATTAATTGTAGGTGGCACCTTATGTAGACTTTTCTTCCTAGCAACTGCCTTTCCTGAAAGAAAGGACCCAAAAGATGTGGTCAGATTATATGTGTGTGTGTATCTATCCTTAGATATATATCTATATCTATATCTATATCTATATCTATATCTATATCTATATATATATCCCCAAGGAAGCATTTATTACCACATAATATACATGCATAATTTGTATGTAATAAATATATAACATATAAATGTATAAGTAATTAATAATAAGGTAATTAGTTATAAATAACATTTAAAATATATGTAAAATGTGCATTCTTGCCCACACATACACACAATATGGTGGTATATGGGATTACAAGAGATTTTGATCATGCTTTAAAATGTAACTAGACATCTTAAACCAAGTGGCTCAGGTCAAAGCTAAAGTGGGGTTCCATTTACTTAGTTTGGTGGTTTCTCCTAAAATCCTTTTCCCCTTCAGCTGTTGCCAAGGATAGGGACTTTAATTCCATTTACACATAGTTAACCATCATCAGCAGTAAGGGAACCAGGGGCACCTTGAGAGGTGTAGTATCTCTTGTACTCGTATTAGTTTCCTCTTGCTGTTCTAACAAATAACCAACAAAACAAAGGTTTAAATAGCACAAATTTATTATTTTATAGTTCTTGTAAGTGAGAAGTCTGGTACAAGTCTCACCAGACTAAAATTAAGGTGTTGGCAGACTGTTCCTTTCTGGAGGCTGCAGAGGAAAATTTGGGTTAAGGGTAGAATTCAGTTTCTCATGGTTGTAGAACCAGAGTATGTATTTTTGTGCCAGCTGCAAAGTTAGGACCATTCCCAGTTCTAGAATCGACCCCATTTCTTGGTTAGCAGTGTCCCATCTTTATAGCCAAAAAAGGGTTGGTCAAGTCCTCATGTATCTCTCTGACCCTGACTACAGCTGGGAAAGTTCTTCCCTTATAAGAATTTGTGGGATTAGACTGGACCCATCTGGATAATTCAACTAAGTCTCTCCATCTCAAGGTCCATAATCTTAAGGACATTTGTAAAGTCCTTTTTGCAACGTACAATAACCTATTCACAGGTTCTGGGATGAAGTTGTACATCTTTAGAGGACCATCATCCTGCCAACCCCATTCCTCATGACCATTAGTATCCCTATATTATAGGTAACTAGCCTAGGTTAAGGTCTTACAGCCACTAACTTACAAAATAATGATTTGGTTCCAGAGCCTGTGCTTTTAACCACTTGGTTATTTTGCATTTCTCATTGGTCAGAAACAGACATTCAAAAGTCAAGTACATGTAAAAATGTAGGATCATAATCTATCTAAATTGAAAAATATCTGGAAGTGCACATATTCACAGAATTTACTAAGTGTTATGCTGAAGCTAAATGGCCACCCACCCACCCACCAATTCCAAGTGAATTTTCCTGACACCCGGCACACAAATCCCCTCCTTCCTCACCTACCCACAGAAAACTTCTGTGAGGTCTCTGGACAAAACTCCAAAGGGGCAAAGACTACCCAACTGCTCCTCTATAGCTCAGCTGAAGAACCTCAAGACCTTCCTCCACCAAGCCCAGGGCCATGATTTGCTTGCCCAATTTCATCCCTGTATCTCCTTTTCTTCCTGTGCTAGACTCTCCAAGCACTCGGTGTCTTAGTGACTGCCCTTCCCACTCGGTCCGGACATCTGCTCTCTGCTGCTATATCCTTCTGCCCCCACTTTTCTTCTTATTTTAAGAGTCCAATTAGTAACTGTGCCAATGGTGAGCAGAGGTGCTACAGAAATAAAAGTCGGGGGTGAAGGTGGTAGCCAGTTTGGTTGCCCAGAATCTCCCTTAGCCCTCCTCTGCCACTCCGAATATACAGTCTAAGTCACAACAGTGTTTGCTGTTCCTACTTTTATATAAATGAAACTTAATTTTCAAAGATAGAAGTTCTTTGGAGCTCCTGCCCTATGACTTTCCAATCAAATAGTTCTAAGTCATTACTATAGAAATTCTGGAGCTGCGCCCAAGATCAGTTTCTCATGTTTAGGCATAACAAAAAAAAAAAAGCAACTGAAAGAGATAGGAAAGTTTTTAAAAGTTGAGAAACCCTATACTGCTCTTAAAGTTCTTGTCTTCTGGTCTTCCTGCCTTCTTTTTCAGAGTTGGCTCTGGTCCTGCCACCCCAGGCTACAGGGCCTCACTTTAATTTCCTGGGAAGAAATTTATCCCAGTTGGTCAGATAAAGAGCAACAACATTTAACAGGTCACTTAAATTTCAAGCAAAGTGATCATTCCAAATACCCAAGTCTCTGGAATTGCCCTAGTCTCTTTGATTGCAGTTCCTTTTTTTTTTTCTCTTCATTTTTAACCTCTTATTTTCAGGTTAATTTCCCTCTCTGAACTCCCTTTTAAACTTGCTTTTTGCCTCCCATCTTATCTTTTTCCATTGTGAAATGAGAAGAGGTAATACTATAGTCAACCTTCTATGTGGCTTAGCTCTAGACTTGGGGACAGACAGTTTTGTTTGTAAGAGCAAAAGTTTCTGAAAACTACCAAGTCCGAATTAGCCCATGAGCACTCATCCATTCAATCTAATGTCCAAGAGGTTGTGTCAATGATAGGTACACAGGGCTGATGGAAGCAGTGAGATTAGAGAGGAGCTTACTCTGCCCAGACTCTGGGTTCTGAATGGTTTACCTGTTCTCTCAACAAGCCTGTAGGCAGGACTTCCTATCATATCACATGTGAGAAAACTGATGTGGAAAGGGTAAAGAACATGTCCAAAGGCCATATACAATACACGAGTGGCAGGAGATTTTAAGTTTTTTCTCTCATCCTCTTTATAGGCTACAAGATATTAATCCTGCATGTTTAGAAAGACTAGCTTCATCTAGAGCTAAATAATTTTAAGTTAGAGATACTAGGTTCCAAATACAATTAAGAATATGCTGTGGATAAATGTGCAAGAGTAGAATGGGCAAGTGGCTGAACCTTAACAAAAAATAAAATGTGGTGTTTATTTTGTGGCTTAGAAGGCAGATGGGGTCTATTAGAAAAAACAAATAGACTTGGGATTCAGAATACCTAGAAGAGTGCCAGCTAGCCTTAACATCCTTGACCTTCAGTTTCTTTGCCAAAAAATAGATATAATAATAGTTAATGCATAGGATTATTAAAAAGATTAAATAAGATAAATAATGTGGTCTTTTTATAATAGTGAAAGGGCTATTAAGTACCTTTAATCACATCATTATCATCTCATTTATCGCTCTTGTCAAACAACCACCTGTCAAGTTTCATATCACTGATCCTCTTTCACAACAATACTACAAGGTACATGAAATTATCCCAGTTTTACAGGTGAGGAAACCAGGGCTCAGAGGAGATTAAGAATAAGCCCAACACCACAGCTAGTAAGTAACAGATACCCTAGTGTTGGAACCCAGAGATGATATTCTTAAACTCCCACTGCTAAACAGAAAAACAGATTTTCAGCAGCTACTGATTGACTAGGCAGGGAGGAGAAGCTTACACCTTTTCCTCTAGCCTAACCATATGCCTCCCAAAGGTGATCTCACACCCAACTCTGGAGAAGGCCGGGGGCCTCTGAAGCAATTTTCCAACTGAGATATTACAGAGCAGTAGGTTCTAGTCTCACCCCTTCATTTTTCACTTGAAGAAACTGAGTCCAAGTCCTTTTTCTTGAATTACACAGCACATTGCTGGGCATATAGGCAGTGAGAACACAGGTCTTCTGATCCTTGGTTTCCTGCTTATCCCACTTCCTTCAAAGTTTGGGGGATTCTCATTCTTTCTTGGTTCCATTATAGGGCAATTCCTTAGTTCTCAGGAAAAGTCTTACAACACATTTTCTAAAGCTCCCTTGGGGAATTTAATGACAGCATCTGCTATGTGCTAGGCACAGTGGTAAGCACATTACTTTCTTACTTGAGTTATTTGAACACTAACTGTGATTTTTGCCATATTTATATACCATCTGTATAGTTAACAACTTAGTATTTGTCTCTATATTGTCTTTAAAGTTCTAACTACTTTAGCTTTATCTTGGGTTATGATAGGAAACTATGAAGTCCTAGTTATTTAAATACACATCATGTAAATACGTAACTATTAACATTAAAATGTTTACCATCTGAGTCTCTCCAATATTAACTCATTTAATCATTCTCATACTCTAAAGAATTTACAATCGCTTCACATCCCCTATTATATCCTTATTTTATAGCCCCATACCTTCTCATTTTGCCACAGTATAGATGACCCAAACTCAGTTCAGTAACTTAACCCTGGTCTCTCAGCAGGCGAGTAACATCACCACATCTGAGACCCAAGCCTGGCTGGCGACAAAGCTGCGCTCCTGCCTTCCCACTTACTGACAGGAAGGAATGCTCAGCCCAGTACATTACACTGGGTCAGAGCCTAGAAGTCCTGCTCTGACAGGGCCGCCGCAGCTTCACGTGCTGGCATGACTGTGTGCAGGGGGTGGGTGCTTCTGCTTGGGGGAAACCTCTAAGGTAGCAATATCACTGTGCCCTTCTTATTTTCAAGTTTTTATTTTGAAAAGTATCATGTCTATGGAGAAGTTGAAAGAATAGAGCAGTGAACGTTCCAAAATCTTCACCTGTGTTCACCCATGGATAAGATTTACCACATTTGTTTAACTCACACTGTGTGTGCATGTGTGTGTATGATTTTGGCTGAATCATTTGAAAATAAGTTGCAGATATTTGTGTCACTTCATTCCTAAATATTTCAGCATGTATTCACTAAGAACAAAGACATTTTCCTACATAATACATAGCATTATCATATCCAACAATGTAGTAGATTGCTTATATTATCTAATATTTGCCCATTTTCAAAATTTCCCGGCTGTCCCCACATTGTCCCTTAGAACTGTTTTCTTCTTCCTTCCACAATCCAAGATCACTTGTTGCATTTGGTTGATAGTTCTTCTTAGTTTCCTTTAATCTAGAACTGTCCTTCCAACCTCTTGTTTTTCTTACATTGATTTCAGATCATTTTTCATGATTAGATTCAGGCTACTCTGCTTTTCTTTTTTTTGCTCACTCCTTCAATAATTTGGTTGTGTAAAATCGCTTGAGAAAAGTTACACAGACTAGTCAGAAAATAGAGCAAATATCCTTAAAATACCTATTACTGAATAAGAAATAAGGTATTTTTTAGCAGCCAAATGAACTACCAATTGGCCAGGAGAAGTAGCTTTGGTCAGTGGGAGCTCCACCCAACATGCCCCAACTCCCCCGTACTCCGACCGACTTGGATGGATTTCCCTCATACCCGCAAAGCCAATTCAAAATGAATGTGATGCCTCTTTACCTTGTCTTTTGTCATTTTATGGGTTGGGAGTGCTCCTTTTAATTCCAGGTCCTCTAGTGAGTGTGGCACCAGCAGCTGGCCAGCCCCTGCTTGTCCTTCTGCAGCTTTCTACTAGTTACACATTAGAGGAGGAGGGGCAAGGCAAGGCAGGGATGGGGCACTGCTGAAAAGTCCAAGTTTAATCTTAGCCGAGGCTCATTAGTGATGGGATCTAATCACTAAGTGCTTTGCCTCAGCGACCTGTGGCTTCAATGCCTTTGCTCTACCACGAAAAAGAGTGTCCTTTAGACATAAGTTACAAACCAGAGGTGGTCCCATTTTAAGGCATGTATGACCTGTGGCAACAGCCAGGGACCGGTGATAAAAGAACTCTAGGGTCTTCTGTAGATCAGATATGCTGGACCCAACCTGCTGGGCTGTGGGCAGAGAGCTAACAGCAGGGGCCTTGAGGCACACTGCCTCTGCCCTGCAGAGAACCAGCTCTGTGCTGTGTGTGCTTCAGAGCTGGCCGGTGGCTAGCGTGGCTACCACAGGAGTCAGGAACTGACAAAATGTTGAATCTCCACATTTTACCGGTGGAGTGACCTTAAGCAAGTGGCTCACTGTGACTTTTCTGTGCCTTAGTTTTTTCACTGGATAAAATGGAAATAAAAAAGACTGTTTTTTTTTTGTTGTTGATTAAATGCAATGATATATGAAAGCGTTTAGCACAGTGCATAAGTGCTCAGCAAATGTTATTGTTTCTGCTGTTCTTATTACTTCTTTGATGTATGCCAAGAGGAACTTGTTGGAGTCAACAGTGTAGAGTTCTCAAATAAATCTGCTCATATGGCTTGAGCTTGTGCCCATCTGTGTGTCCTCTGTGTTAATCCAGCCCATGTGGGGGCCCAGGAGATACCAAAACTGGTTAAGCTTGAACTGTGCTTGGCCACTAATGTGGTTCCACTGAGGCTCAACTGGAACCAGTTCCCAGCAGAGGAAATGTAGCTAACAGACACCTCCCAAAAGGAGGGGTGTTATGAAGCTGTTTCTTGAAGTGATAAAGTGTGAGGTAAAGGAGACCCAGACTTCATTTGTCTTTTATTTCACCACCCTCTTTTTATTTCTATCAACTTTCCAAGGTAGCGCAATTGAATAAGTAACTCAATTCAAACCACAAACTTATTGAGCCCCACACAGTCCCAAGCTCTGGGATGCATGAGATAAATAAGACTCTCAGGAGCTCATAATATATAAGAAGAGACAGAGTAATCACAAACATGTAACAGTAATTTCTTAGTGCAAACGGTATTATTAGAAATACTAGTTAATCTTCACTGAGTTCTTGCTTGGTGCCAGGTGCTGGTCTCAGCACTTTACACAGATTAACTAGTTCCCTCATAACATAAGGCACTCTCTTCCGTTGTAGAGCCAGGCTTTGGAGAGCAGCTTTGGAAGCAGACTCTAAAGAGCCCAGGTAGCCGCGCTGCCGTTGATGCAGAGCCGTCTCCGGCTTTCCAGCCAGGTGCCACAGCGCCTGTAAGCAGAGAGGATTCCTTACCACTTATTTTCCATCGACTTGACTCTGCTGGGAAGAGTCTTTGTACCGCTGCCAAACTTGATACTTACCCTCTTTGTTTTACCAATCCTTATTTTTTGCTTCTTTCTTTTAAAAGACAGAATTGGCCTTGAGCGCGGCGAGGGGCAAGTGAGCCCCTAACGCCTCGCGCCCTGCAGCGGCGCGCGCGCGCGGGTAGCTGTTCTCTCCCGCGGGAGCGCGCCCTGCCACTTGCTAACCGGTCTGGGGACCTTGACCACCCAGAGCGGCTTCCTCTGGTTTAGCCGGGACCTTCGTTCTTCTGCTCTTGCTCAGAAATGAGTACTTTCTGCCTCATTTAGGGATGGGCTGAAACTATGTCGGGGGCTGGGGTGGAGGGGTTCAGCCGCGCCGACCGCCCTGGCGGATCCCGCCCTCCGAGCCGGGAAGCCTTTACGCCTGTCCGGAGAGCCGGCCCTTGCGCCCTCCCAGCGCCCGCCCGCAGAGCTGCGGGTGCGGCCGCGCCGGCGCGGCTTCGTGTTTCCCTGGCCGGGAGGCGAAGTCAAGCTTTTCGCGCCCTGCGGCTGCGACGCGGCAATGGGGCTCATCAGCGCCCAGAATCACCCCGAGACCCCCCGCTAGGCGCGGCGAAACCAGCTCGGTGTGCTTGTTTGTTCGGTTTCACACTTTAAACTCTTCAAGTCACGTCCTGATCACTTCTTGAAAAATTTAATCTTCGTGGTAGACACCAATAGCTCTAGGTGGGGAGAGTGTGCGAGGACAGGAAAGAGCACCCGCCTCTGTCCACTACTATCCTTCCTTTCAGGAAAATGAGTTTAGTTTCTTTCTGTCAGTGGGAAGAAAGGAAACGAGCTATCTCAGCGTGCTGCATTCCTCTCTGACCGGGTCAGGTGTGAACAAGTGCAAAGTGGTCTCTGGGAAACCAAATCAGATGAGTTCAAGCTGGATCAAACCAGGAGTCACAGGAATGTTGGAAAATCCTAGTCCCTCAGGAAAGCCAGTGGATTTTAAGATTATTGTGTCAAATTTGTCCCCATTTTAGCCTGCCTCGTCTCACCCTCTCTGCAGATACTTCTCTGGTCTAAGCCACCAGCATCTCTCCTGAGTGTGACTGCACAGCCTCCTACCTGGCCTTCTTGCCTCCATTCCAGCCCTATAGCCCCGTTTTAAGAGAACATACACCCCTTGCTTAAAAATCTCCAAAGGCTTCCCAAGTCATCCTAAGAAGGAAACTCACATTCCTCACAGGTCACAGACCATTGACCTCCCTGATACTGAGATCGCCTCATCTATAAATCCTCTGGATTCAGCCACATTGGCCTCGAACTTGTTTAATGTGTTTCCAGACTCCTCACCTTTGTACTTGACGGGTCTCTGCCTAGAGCACTCCACCCAGGTTTGTATGTGCTGGCTCCTCTACATTCAGATGACAGCTCAGAGAGGCTCTCCAGCTAGGCTTTCTAAGGCACATACCACCTACCCTCTCCAACTCACCCTCAGTCCTGTTACTCATTTCCTTCATTAGCATTTGTGCTTGAAGTTGTATTTACTGTTATTTTATTATTAAAATATTAAATATTAAATATTTAATACAATGAATAAAAACTTAAGCAACTTACTAAAATATTTAAATAGTTTTATTATTAAAATTGATTGTCATTATTTTATCATTTACTTATCTATTTATTATTGTGGTCTGCTTTTTCCACCAATTCTATTTGCTAGTATTTTGTTAAGTATTTTTGTGTGAATATTCATGAGGGATATTAGTTTAGTGTTTTGTTTGTTTGTTTTGCACTGCCGTTTCTGGTTTCAGTATCAGAGTAATATTAGCTCCATAAAATGAATTTAGAAGTCATCTCTCCTCTTCCATTTTCTGGAAGGGATTGTGTAAAATTGGTGTTATGTAGAATTCTCCAGTGAAATAAACTGGGTCTGGAAATTTTCTTTTGGGGGGATTTAAAATTATAATTCAATTTCCTTAGTAGTTACAAGAGTATTCGAATTATCTATTTCATATTAGATGAGTTGCAGTAGTTCATGTTTTTTGAGGAGGTGGCGATTTCATCTAAGTTGTCAAATTTATGTCTCTCCTCATATTCCCTTATCAATCTTGTTACGTCTGCAGGGTTTATAGTGATATACCCTGTTTCACTCCTGATATTGATAGCTTGTGTCTTCCCTTTTTTTGCCAGTCTTGCTAGAAGTTTGTAAATTTTATTGTTTTTTTCAAAGAACTTGATCTTTGTTTCATTGATTTTCTCTGTTGTTTTTCTGTTTTCAATGTTATTGATCTCTGCTGTTATCTTTATTAGTTCTATCCTTCCATTTGCTTTGGGTTTATTCTGCCTTTTTTCCCTAGGTTCTTGAGATGGGAGATTACCTGATTGATTTGAAACTTTTCTTCTTTTCTAATGAGTGCTTTTAGTGCTATATTTTCCCCTCTCAGCACTGCTTTAAAAGTGTCTCACTAGTTTTGACATGTGGTATTTCAACTTTCTTTTAGTTTAGTGTATTTTTCTTTCCCTTGAGACTTCCTCTTTGACCCATAGATTATTTTAGAAGTATGTTGTTTAGATTCCAAGTGTTCAGAGGTTTCCCTGTTATCTTTCTATTATTGATCTCTGGATTGATTCCATTGTAGTCAGAAAAAAACACCTTGTATGGTTTCAAACCTTTTAAAGTTTCTGAGGTTTATTTTATGGCTCAAGGTATAAAATGGACCAGCTGTGTCACTACTTCTGTCATGCCAGATATGTGGCTGACCCCTTAGCTTACTGATCATGGCTTTGGAAAAGAAGAGTTTCCCCTTCCTGGAATGCTTTTATGTCTCTTCTGAATGCAAGGCATCTTGTAAAATGAATTCATGTCATGTACTCGCAAGGGTTTAAAGCACTGGGCCAGAGTCAAAAGATGTTTTTCTCCCTTTGCAAAGGTCTGGCTGTTTGAGCACAGGCAAATCTTAACCTCTCTGGAGTTCATCTGTACTACAAACTACATAATCTCTAAGTCTCTTCATGTGCAAGATGGAGATCACATCTTGTTCATGGGATTGTTTTGAGGATTAAATAAAATAATATGGATACAGTGCTTAGAACAAAGCCTAGCACATAGTAGGTGCTCAGGAGATATCAGCTGTTACTACTTTTCTCCTCTCAGTTTCCATGATTCTTTGTTTTCATTTTAACATCCCCACCAAAAGTTAATATGGGGTCCTATGACCCCCTGGGTTGACTGGCTAGGTGAGTTCTCCTCCTTTTTTAGCCTGGAGCTTGTGATATTTGGCAATGAGGGAAGTTCTCATTAGGAGAGCAAAGGGCTACTTGTTGTGTGGGTAGTCCCCTGGATTTGTGCCATTCGTGTCACAGAGGTTTGACAATCTGTGGCAAATTCCTTTGACAGCTGCAAATATATGGCAATTTTTCAGTGAGCACTGTCTCAAATCAATTAATCTTCAGACAATTTAGTATAAATTGAATGGTGTTGCTGCATGTAGGCAATTTTTGTTTGCAATTTTTGAGTCATCTCAGTTTAAATTAAGCCTATTAAAATTTTCT